ATTAATCTATAATGACAATGAATAATGGACGCGAGTGTGTTTGTGTGTGTCTGAGTGTGTGGGAACTGTGCTAGCAATACTGTAAGCTCCACAGTCTTGTTTTTGTTTTTTTTACGTCACCTTTTAAAAAATTATTTACTGGTTTGGTCATTTTTAGGTTGGCAGTGAGCCCACTTTCTGAATTCTGTCTCTAAAGCACTTTAGACCAATAACAATACTCACCAATACCAGTACTGATATACCAGTATTGGTACTTGCCAATACCAATATTGGTATTGGTAATATCTGCCCTGTATTTACTTGGTAATTGAAAATTAAAATTATTTAATAAAATTCAGTGGGCTACATACTGAACTTTGAGGATAGAAATAAAGTATTGATCCAGTACTGATATCAGTAATTGTTTCGATCTGCCCACCTCTGCTGGTTACTCACTTGGTCTCTTATTGGTGCTCCAGGGGAGCAGGCTGGGCACGTAGCCTCCCATGCTGCCCAGCAGGGTCAGACCGAGGCCCGGGCTGTACGGCACCCAGAGCAGAACCTCCCCCATCTCCCCGGTCTGGGCAGAAGTCCTCAAGGTGTGGTTGACGTAGACGTCCACCGAAGCCCCCAACAGGGGCTGGCGGGTCACCAGATCTCTCATCAGGACCTTCAGGGCAAACTGAGGCTCTGCAAAGAAGATGCCAGAGGAAAAAGAGGAGATCTGGGTTGCACGTGTCCCTCCTGCGTGCTCCGTAACCTTTCTCTCGGCATGAAAAAGTGATGAGGCGAGCACTTCTGCGGGGAGGGTGGAAAAATACATCCAGGAACCGAGCGACAGCACAGAAGAGATGCAGTCTGACTTTTAAATACGAGCTTCCAGATAAACAATGCACTGTTTGCTGTTATTGACGGACACACACACACAGCCTCAGCTGTCCTTTGTGTGTTCACTAGGGACAGGATGTAAACACAGACTTTACTTACTGTATCAGCAGAGCAGCACAGGATTACCACACTCCCCTCCCTCCCTGTCTCCCATTAAGACATCACCTGCTCAGGCCAAAAAGATAAAAGCCTAATCCTCCACACCTCCATATTCCTCCTATTAATCCTATTACACTGGACTGTCTGATTCCAGTCCAGCAGTGTATCAGTGCGCTCCTGATTTCCTTATTTATTGCAGAAAGCCCCCTTTATTAACGCACCTGCACCATCAGTCATGCCCCACTGTTTCCTCTGCAGCTGATTTCCATTTTCAGTAACAATGACATCCCCCTCCTCCATCCTCCACCCCCCTCCATCCTCCAGCAAACACCCCCTTCCTCTTTGTTTATGTTTACCTGCTGATAGAGCCGAGAGGGTGGCGGCTCGGCTCGAGGCGGCGGTGTAGGTGCCGGACGGGTCTCCGGCCCCGGCCGTGAGGCCGCCGCCCTCCTCCAGTGCCGCTGCTGCCCTCGCCGCCCCATCCAGGCAGGAGATCAGCAGCAGCGACGGCAAGAAGAGGAGCAGCGGCGGTGGGTGGCGTTCAGCGGCGGGCATGGCGAGAGGGGGAGCAGGCTCAAAGACATAACGGACCGCGAGGAATCGAGCTCTGGAGCGGGGAGCGCGATCACCGAGGCCTCGTCCCTCCCTCCCTCCGTCTGTGTGTCTGTCAGGGTTCCTGTGATGCTGGTGCCGAAAGAAGGAGGAGGCACCCCGCGGAGAGGAGATGCGCTGGTGCTGAGGCTGGGCGTGTGGGGCCGAAGATCGTCTATATAAACCGAGATGTCTCACTCTGTTAGAGGAATGCGTGCAGTAATCGAGATTAAGCAAAATGAGGGCGTGTATCAGTAAACATACCCGGAGCAGAAGCACTGCCGCTGTTTTCTAACGTTTCATGGATGTTACTGTCTGACAAGAGTCTCTGCTGTCCGCGGGAAAAGTGTCAGAGTGAGCGCTCCTCTCTCTGCGTCATCTCTGATGAGACCCAACATGCTGTTACATCATCGGGGTCTGCGCGGCCCTCTGTCGGTAAACTGGGGACTCAACACTTCGGATCATACAGGGAATTCTTTATACTTTGCTATGTACATCTTTAAAAGGATCACCTGTGTTCACTGACTTTTTTTTCCAAAGAAATACACTAAACCCAGTCCATAAAGATCCTGAAACACTTCAGCGCTGACCATAAACCCCAAAGGAGAGCATTAAAAAAGCGCCCAATGTTTTTAGAAGGTTCGGGTTTTCTCAAAGATTCAGAGAGTCTAAAAAAAAAAAATTTAAGGTATGACAGCAAAATAACTCTTAACCTCTGGGTTTATTTAAAAGTCTCACTTTGGATGGAAGGATCTAACAAGTTTAGAATTTTTGAGGTGTCTCCTACATTTTTGAAACCCATCATTCTGAGGAAAAGTCTGACAAGCTTTCAGAGAGAGCTTCTCATCAGATTTCTGAGGCTGATGCCATGGAGTAATGAATCAAGACCACTACAGTGCAGGGTGATACTGACAGTGGGTTCACTCCTATAATAATTTTTATGATCTTACACCCAGTTGAAGGACTTACCAACACTAAGGAACACGGCAAACACTTGAATTAAAAACAGGCAACAGCCTTTAATTTATTTAAAAAGAAAAAAAGAAAAAAAAACGACCCAAATATAACAAGAGAAATACAGAAATTATTGAACTGTTGAAGATATTTCAAGAAAGTCATGGAAATTCATCACCCAGGTTTTCACAGGTTCAGATTTTCACTTATATTTGAATTTTCAAAACATTCAGCTTTTGATTTCATCAGCCTCCCCTCATTTCTTTATATTTTGCTTTCAAGGAGTTCAACTTTCTGGTCAGTTTTCAAAGTGCTCTTGAGCAGTTCTCCAGCTTTCTGAAGATCTTTTACTGTGTTTATTTGTGCATTTGCTGCTTTTTCACTCATTTTCAGTCGTTTTTGTTATGCCACTTATCACTCAAGCATAAAAAGGCTCCTAAGTCACAGGATGAGCCAGTGTTGTTTCTACACATCTTTAGGCACTTTTTTAAGCAGCCTGTAACAAAAACACATCATTTGTTCCAATTTCTTTGAATCTATGAAAAATACAAAAAAGGACACAAGTCATGTCCTTATAGAAAGAGTAAAGAATCTGACACAGGACCTGATAGATTCATCTGGACCTTCAGCTGATCATCTATTGTTCCTCATCAGAAATGGTCTCAGTGGCTGTCAACAAGCCATTCTTAAGGAAGGGAAACGGAGAGAAAAGGCTGAGGTATGAAAATTATGAAAATCATCTAAAGGTAGAAACACCCAAAGAAGAGCTTTGAATGTCCTTCAAGAAGCCTGGAGAACTATTCCTGAAGACTACTTAAAGACATGACAAGAAAGCTGCCTAAGAGAGTTTGCCTTATTTACTGTATTTACATGTATGTTTAAAAACGTGATTTATTTAAATCATATCAAAATACAGAGAATTATTTAAGTAATTGTTCTGGTGACTTCTGTTGATCACACTGCTGCCCTGTTACAAGATAACTGCCCTCTAGTGGTTACTATCAGGAACTACAACACTGCATGTACATGATCGTTTAAAAAACTTCAGGCTTTATACGCAAATACTGACATCAACAGTGAAACTGAGTGGAGCCTATCGCTGCTGACCCAAAGTCTGACTAATTAATGATAATTCTACAAGCTGTAACGGACGTACTCTCTCTGGTTATTTTATTAGGTACACCTACTACTGTGTGTGTGTTTAAGTGATGCTCAGCTCAGTCCAAAGAAAATGTCCTCTAGATCTTTACACCACCAGCAGCTTGAAGCAGTCTGGCCATTATCTGACATCAACAGGGATCTGCTGCTCACTGGACATTTTCTCTTTTTCAGACCAGTCTCTTCAAACTCTAGAGACAACAGATCTTCACGCAGACAAACAACCATGTCACATTCAAAGTCACTAAAACTAAAATGAGAAAACAGTCAGGTGTCACAATAAGATGCCCCACAAATTATTTGTGTCAGTAAAATCTTTTACTGACACAAAATCCGCCACAAGACAGAGGAGAACACCACAGGGATAAACCCTGCAGGCCTGACAGCAGGTGTATCACTGCTCCTGTTTTCCACCTGGACAGTGTTTACATTGCAATCTGCCTTTGTGACAGTCATTAGCACCCTCACTAACACACAAAACAACGACTACATAACAAACTAAATGTCACAAATCTCTCATCTCTCGCTACCTTTCTCTCCAATTCGCTCGCTCTGTCTCGCTGCCGTCACTCTCAAAACTTTCCCCTCTTCCTAAACAACCAAATCCCACGTTTTTTTTTCCTCTTCAAAGTTGATTGACAGGGTACATTTTTCCACCAACAGGAAAGAGTTGGCTTTTTTTTGTCTTTACAGTTTTCGGACTGTCCTTAGACAATGCTTTCGTCTTTTTTCATTTCTTCTTTCTAGTATATAGAAAAAGTCATCGCTTATATATATTTTTTCATATCTCTGGATTTAGTGGCCTTTACTAAAAATTTCAAAACTGGTGTATACTTTGAAGTCCAAACTTTCAACACGAGCTGAAATAGAGACTCAGCGTGGCTGCAGCTTGTTTTTATGTCAGCTTAAATCAGTCATGTGATTTGGAGGTGCGCACACAGAGGGTTAATAACACTCACCTTCATTCCATTTCCAGACTGTAACAACCAAGCACCTGTGTGAAATCTTAAATGCCCATTGTGCTCTGGCACAATCATAGGCATCGGTTGCTACTGAAAACAAGAAATAACACCATGAGCTGAACCTGTTAATGGTGGTGGTGTGAAGCAGTGGGCAGCCACCAATGCAGCGCCCGGGGAGCAGTGTGTAGGGACGTTACCTTACTCAGGCGTACCTCAATGTAGCCGTTCAGTGGAGTCAAACCCCTGCCGGGGCCATTAAAATATTATACCACTAGGTGGCAGCGTTGACCATTTCCACAATTTAAGTGATGCTGAAGAAGTCTGCTCCACTTTGTTACAGTGTTTCACTCATGCAAACATAAAAACAGCTTTAATTTAGAATATTTTATTAAAATGCTCACTCATTCGGTCTATCACAGTAACAAAAGTGTCAGGGTTTTGTGAAATGTGCCGTGGTCAAATATTACAAACAGACGGTGCTACATTAGGCTGCGTGTTAACTGTGAAACATCCCCAGAACGTTTTACTAACAGCCGTTTACTCACTTTAAATCCATAAAATCAAATACAGATATATTAAAAAAAGAAGTGCAAGTGTTAGTAAACAGAACAAAAAAGAAACAAAGTTGAGAGATTTTATACAAAAGTGCAACAAGAACCGTTTCCTCTTATCGGTCAGACAGTTTTAAAGTGTTAATATGCACAAAACTTGTGTAAACATTCAGATATTTTGGTCAAGCGTCATGTTTAAAATCAAATATCGGATCAATTAATATATATGTATGCACACTTAATAGTTAGATTTGTACACGAATACGTCATTTATTACGTTTATTGTAAAAACTGGAGTAATTGTACCCAAATGCACAGGGACTGATTAAACTTTAGCAGCATTGTGGGCGCTCGTTGCCACAGGGAAAAATCTCCTGATTAGTCAAAATTATTTATTTATTCAAAATAAATGTGATATAAACAAACACACACAGCATCACGAGGCTCATTAAAAAAAACCCAAACAAACTGGCAGCCCTCTTCAGCGGGTTAGTATTACTGGTACCCATCAGCCAGCGGTTTATTGCACAAGAGCAGCAGGGAACAGCGCCCCCTTGGCACAGACCACACTCGTCGATTGTGAAGCAGTCAGTGAATTCAAGGGCTGACGTGCAAACGCAGATTAAGAAAACCCGACTTCCCCGAAGAAATTCTGCATAGACTCTGAGAGATCGGTTCACAAAGACCCTCGGCCGACCTTTCTATGCAGGATCTCAGATTTAAGGTCATCAACAGTCACTTTTTTTGGTCAGAAACCTTTCAGCATCTCCACGGGCAAAAACAAAACAAAAAAAAAAAAAAACAACCCTTGATGCTGAAGTGCAGCGAGTCGCCCCAACCAGCGGGGTGTTGCTGCCACTACTGCGCCGCCGCAAACGCCACGTCCATCAGTAGCAGCCGTCTCGCCAGGTGCTGTCGCGGAGGGCACTGAAGGTGGACAAGCTCTTTGGAGGAGTCAGTAAACTGAGGGAACAGGAGGACGACTAAAGTCAGAGGACAGACAAAGACATGATGTTCCACAACAGGTAAATCTAACAGACATTCGCTGGAGCCACATGTCTCAGGAACCCCACCAGTGCGGTGTGGATGACGAGTAACACTCGGTGCTTTGCCTCATTTCAAACTTTTAGTGCGAGTCCAAATGAATCTAATACCATGTGCTCCAGTGTTTGATGAGAGTTGTTGCTTCAAATGAACAAATTACACAGTACTCTTTATTTTTAAAAAGTAATCCATTATTTTACACATTTACTGACTATAGTCCAATGAGGTAGGTTTGTGTTACTTCAGATTGCGCAAGCGCGCGCGCGCACACACACACACACACACACACACACACACACACACACACACACACACCTTCTTTTTAAAGTTTACCTTCGTGCTGGTTGGGCCACCTTGCTGCGGGGGGTGGAGCTTGTGGTACCAACAAAGGAGGCAGGGCGGGGCAGGCTGCTGCGTGCAGTGTTTGAGGTGGTGGGTGTCCCTGCAGGTTTACTAAGCAAAGGGATCCCGCTGTTGGCCCCACCCCCCCCACTGCTGTTCAGATTAAGAGACTGGAGACTGATGGAGGTGGGCATGGAGGCGGAGCCCTTGATAGTGGGACTGACGTAGGCAGTGGCCTTCAGAGGTGGCCGTGACAATGAGGTGAAGTTCCCGACACTCTGGACTCTGTTTTGGAGTTGGCCTGGAGAGGGGACTGAAGACGAGAGGAGACAAACTGAAGTTAGTAAACTTACTTGGCTGGCGGCGAATGAATTTTTGGGTGAGCTGTCCCTTTAATTAGAGAAGACAAGCAGCGTCTTACTGGAGGACTGCAGTCGAGCCAGTCCGCTGGACGAATCAAAGCTCTGGCTGTTACGAAGCAAAGAAGGGGAAGCACTGGGATTGGCTGGTATGGGCACACTGGGCATGCTGGGAGCTCTGACGAGGTTAGGCATGCTCCTCCGCAGCTTATCTAACACAGACAAAAACAGCCAACAGATTTAAGGCGTCCAGAGCTGCGTCAGGCCAGATTAATAAAGTTATCTGCAGAGTCTGCAAACAGAGAAGCTTCCAAACAAAAACACAGAGACAAATAGAAACCTTCAGATGCCGAACTATTTTTAAAGATGCCTCAAAGCAGCCTCTGATCTTCTTTATACTGCTAACAGTTTCCAGCCCCCCACAGTCAGATATACACTCCTAACTTGTAATCCCATCAAACTCTCGGAGTCTCCGCCTCAAAATGGAAACACATGCCAGCCCAAGAGCTTTAAGAGCAGTTGTACAAGAGGATTAGAAAGAGTTTATGAAGCAGGTAGAGCGTCAGCGAGGTCAGGACCAAGACACCGTCACAGTGTTAAAGGGGCGAGCTTCACAATTAGAAGAAAAAAAAATACTCAAATTAATGTTCAGAGATGATGTATGAGGTTAGATATACTGAACCATGTTATTGACTTACTCTCATATTCGGCTGGAGGCCATGATGAAGTTTTCCCCCCAAAACAACATGTCCAACGTCATACACGTACACAGCAATACACACAAATATCACACGCACAAAACATAAACACAGAGATAATTTATATTAGCATTCTTCAAAGCATTAATAGGTACTGATTCTATCAAAAGATCATCAGTAGTTTTAATCCATGTCTGCTGATGGATGGAAATACCTTCTAGTGCCAGATTCTTAAAATCAGGCTTTGGTTCATCCTCATTAAAGGACTACACTCTGAGATTAAAGGTACAGTCAGGCTTTCAGCTTATTTAATAGACAAAAAAATAGAAAAGGAGAAAAAGAGGTGATATACCCATAAATTTGGAGTAACGTGTGTGTGTGTGTGTGTGTGTGTGTGTGTGTGTGTGTGTGTGTGTGTGTGTGTGTGTGTGTGAGAGAGAGAGAGAGATTTGTACATGTATATTCTGATAGACATTCATTTTTGATATTGTTATAAGCTAATGTTAGGCTCGAGTGTCCTTAAAAGTCACTTACAATTTGATTACATTCTCACAACGTATTAGAGTTTAAGTGTCTGAGATCAAAAGTGTTAGATCCACTTTCATGAAAGTTTCACTAACACCAGCTATTCTTCTGGTCTCTCAGGAAGCAGAAGACCAGAAGAATGAGCTGAAAGGGAATCTGTTCCTTGATAATTCCGCACAACAGCCTTGTTTCTTTATTTAGATCAAGTTTCCCCCTTTCCTCACCTGAACCTGGTCTGAAGCACTGTTGCTCGGCTGCGCAGGTGCTGCCCACTCCCAGCCCCAGCCCCAGCCCAAGACCCTGAGACTGGGCTTGGAGCACAGGTTGAACGGCGAACCCAGCGGAAGGGTACGGGGGGGTGGAGGGGGTGGAAGGAGGGGTGCACAGGGAACTGGTGCTTCTTCGCCAGTCTCGGATGCTGGAGAAAGTGTGGGAGTGGGGCAGGCGGGTGAGGCGTGGCTGTGGTGGCGGCAGGAGACCGTAGTCTTCGTCGTCCTCCTCGTCTTCCTCCTCCAGGTCGGGACCGGCGCTGAGCTGGCTGAGCTGGAAGGTCAAGCTCTGGCTGCGGCGGTTGGCCAGGACGGATGAGGTGCTGGCGAGGTCCTGCCTTAGACCTGGGGGAGCGAGATATGAGGACCAGCGTGCAAAACACCCACCACATACGCACACGCACACACACAGTCATCACCTCCTGGGGTTAATGAAGCTGAAGTAGCGATGGGCTCTGAGATCTGGTGCCATATGTTAAATTATTAGGATGGGGGGGGGGGAACAGTAGGGACAGACAGACGGACAGCAGGAGAAGTGAGTTGGCTCAAATGACACAGATAACCATAAAAAAGTGACCAAACAGCCAGAATGATTTCTACTGTCCTGAAATCATTTCAGAAACATCTCTCTCTGTATAAAGATTCAGATTTATAGTGCATTTTAAGCACTCTGGCAGGCGGAGCAAACAACTAACCAACAGTCTACAACTCAAATCAAAAATCAGGAAGTGCAGTCAGGGTGCAGACGGAGGTCCTGCTACTTACTCTCCTCCTGCAGCCGGGCCATAACCTGGACATCAGTGAGGTCCTGCAGCTTGTATCCCAGAGCAATGGAGTCATCCTCTGCCTCAGATGCTCCCAGGTCGCTGTCCATGGACGACTGCGGGCTGAGGGTGGAGCGCCGCAGGCTGCGACCTTCAAGTAAAAACAAGACCCAAGAAGTCAGACTTTCCTCTCCGATGTCTCACTTCATGCTGCACAGTTAAACAAATGAGGCAGGACTGCTCCGATGAGAGAAGTACCCTTCACTCTTCAGAGTGTCCTCCACATAAAGATGAGGGGTCCGGACTAATGGAGGGCGATGCTCAGCTCACAGAATTAGAGCCCATTAGGCAGCAGTGAGGCAGAAATATTAAGCCCGAGGTTACAAAAACCTCTTCACAGTTAACGATCTGCCTGATATCTGCTCCCTGCGACTGCTCTCTAAAGTAATCCCTTCCATCAGTGCCATTATTCTAATTACTTTAGTCTTATTTGACTCACACAGGCCAGGATTTCTGCACCTTTACGAGCTTCTTTAACTCGGGCCGTCTCTGAATCTTTGAAATTAACTCCTACCAATCAAGAAAGGAACATTAAAAATGTCTGTGGGTTGTGCTGAGTGACACAGGTTTCTCTGGATAGACAAGTGAGACTTTTGAGATCAGCACAATTGACATTTCCTTCACTTCCACTTTGGGCACAAGCTCAGGTAGGTCAACGGTCAGCTTCTTCAGGTAAAACAAATCCCATAATAGGTTTTTTTTCCCTCCTTCAGGTCGATGAGTTTGTCGTATTTTCTTGTGTGAAGTAATTTGTAACATGCCTTCAGGGAAGCACTCTATAAATAAAGCCTCATTAAAACTATCGCAGTGAAGTTTTAGAATATTGTTGCTGTGCAGTTTAGATCAGAGGTGCTTTTAATAAAAGGCCAGTGCTAAGTGGTTGTTCCTTCAGTGGGTAGAGTACACACCAAACGGGCTGCACCACCTACAGGAGCTGTTTGGTCATAGAAATGAGGCCATGAAGCTCCTGTCACACAGCTTTAGTGCTGATGTTAATGCCAGAGGAGGTTTGGAGCTCCGCGGTTACAAGTCAGCAATCAGTTCCCCGATCTGCAACTTTATGTGGTTCTGCTGTGGTTTCTAATTGATTCCTCTTAGCAATACCAAAACTTACAGCTGATGGTGGAATTTCTCCATGAAACTGTACAATGAGGAGAACACACCTGTTGAGAATAAGACACATTTCTGTTCTAAGGCCTTTAAAATTATTTTTCAGACTCATCTACTCTTAAACAGTCGTTCACACCGATCACACAATTTCGTAGGAGGAATTTTTTGGCATTCATTTTTTGAATCAATCTCGATTTTTGAGACTTTTCACATGCGAATAAACAGATATGACCAATCGGATCACCTCATTTGTGGTCGTAGCTCCAAAACGTGCACCGGTACCGACTACACAATGAGATGGAAACAGCAGACGTTGCTCCGGGGTTAATCGGCTCTCTCAAATTGTTTCCCCAACATCTAGACCCAACTCTCCCAACAACAGTTCAAAATGCCTCACTGACATCCTGAAATAAGTACTAAAGCAGCTGTGATACAACTTCAGCTCCCGGATCAAACCATTAAAGCGTCCCTGCTGTCGCCTGCTCATGAGAACTGGATGAACCCACAATCTCAGTTTCTTCCTTTTCTTGTTTAGAAACATCAGGACCAGCTCAATCTCACTTCACCATGACTCATGCAATGCAGAGCTTTTGGTGCATTTAAACGTTATGAGACACTTGCATATGAAAAATTGGGAATTTCGCATCGTTTTTCTAAATGCTTTCAGTGTGTAAAAGCCTTTACGCATTCTTGGAGCCGTTTTAGATTTATAGTGTACATATTATGTATTAATACAATCTGTGCTACTCTCTTATACATCAGTCTTTTCATTTCCCTTGTTTTCACTGTTTATGTAAAACTGCTGCAGTCTCACAATATAAGGTTCTCACTACGCAACTGTGGCACTTTATCCATCTTGATTATTTGTTGTTGACTATTTTTATTCCTTATCCTGCTGCTGTAATATTAATAATTTCCCTTGTGGGACCAATAAAGCATCTAACTATCACATTTAGTGCTTCAGCTGCCATAGTGTGTTCAACCTTTTCATATTTTTCCAGTATTGTAGTTTTATCCAAGCTTTCATCGGTAAGACGCTGCCAATCGTGCCTCTTTCTTGAAAGCGTGCTTATAGATAAATGAACAAACCCTGGGTTGACTGAGCCCAGCACAGAGCCCATTTGACAGCCCCGAACACATTGGTGGCACAGAGGAGGGCAGGAGGTTCCCGTTTAGGAGAGCACGTGAAAAAGGCTCATTAAAGCCAATGTCATGGAAATAAGCTTTGGGCAAACACCCACCACCACTACTTAGACCCCCCAGCAGTTATTTCTGAGCTACATTGCTCAGGATGTGAGCTCACTCCCTTCAGGGCTGAGCAGTTTTATTCCCTGCAGCTTCGCCCTCTCCTGTGTCTGGAACGCCGTTTTTTCCATTGCTAATAATGCACTTGAATCCACTTTGCCTTCAAACAGGATTCACGTGCAGCAGTGAAATGTAGTCATATAACGAGCAACAAGCAGGGGAGAGGAAAAAAAAAAGGCTGCGATGAAAATATATTCTTCAATTTCAACTTCCTACAGGAGGGAATGTTTGGAATAATGTATAAAAAGCTTGAGCATGACCCAGTTTTTTCCTCCCCCGGCACATTCGTATTCTGGTTACAATACGTATTAAATTTTTAATGTTTGTAAGGAATCAACATGTTCTTTTAAGAAGAGCAGCAAAGGAAGGCTTACTTCGGGTGAGCGGGTGAGGAAGGAAGGTGGGAGTCCTCTCAGCTACGGGGGAGAACTCCTTCCCAATGGGACTGAGAGTCCGATGGAGGAGAGGGTGGAGCGGGGAGGAGAGGGAAGGAACTGAGGCACAGAGGGAGGGGAAGCCAGTTTTGGGAGAAAAAGATGTGACAGACAGCTGATTCATGAGTGAAAGTTGCACTGATGTTCAAATCTGGACAGTACTCGAGGAAATTTAAGTCCCAGGCCAGCTGATTATGATGCTTTGAAAAAAGATAAAACATTGGTACCGTGTCTTTCAGACGGCTGAGGAGTGGAGCAGGGCTTGGTTGGAGGGGAAGCACTGATGGGAGACACTCCAGCAACTCGACTCAGAGGAGGACCGGGAGAGGAGGAAGGAGAGGGGCTGGACAGGGAGCTACGCCACCTGGAGACTGAAGGAGGGAGAAAACAAGCACAGAGTTAGCATATGTTTAATACAAACTGTTACGTTTCCCTGTCAGACATGACACACCAACTAAAAGCTGTGGGCGGATAAAGAAACAAAAGAAAGTCCCCCACACACACACCCCCACACACACACACACACACACAGGACAGTGCGTTTATAAGATTTCTGCTCTTTTCAGCGTAATTATTGGAATTTGTGAATATTCAGGAGTGCACAACAAAGCAAGTGTGCTTATCTAGAAGTCTAAGGGGAAAGTGGCCCAACTGCTCACTTTATTTACTTAGTAAATTTACATTTATAGTCTTAAACATTGGTTTCAAGTCTAATTTAATACAAGATCAGGTTTACTTTATAAATGTTAGTCCAATATAGAGAAATTAATGATAAAAAGCAGAGTATTTAGTAGTGGATACTCTGGTAATAATGACTTAAGGAGTGACTACCTCTTGATAAACAAGCCACCTCCATGTGAGTACATCGACCCATCTAACAAAAACTACCCCCCCCCCAAAAAAGACAAAAATTTATATTTTTATTTATTATACTTTTATATACAAACTATGGTTTCACATTAAGTGTGCATTATCCCAAAGGGTGAAGTAGTTTTTAGTACATGCACCATTCATGCTTTCAGTGCAGGGGTGTCAAGTCAAACATCTGGTCCAGGGGACAGAACTGGGCCACCAAACTGACCCAGTGGACAGCTTTAGAAAATGTGACACTTGGAAAGTAGAAGGATACTTGCACAAAATATTGTACTTGTCAAAAGTACAATATGTCAAAAGACTTCACCCAGGGAATGGCATACCACACCAAAGTAGGTAGAAATGTAGGCGTTCTTTACCATTAGTATTCCAACACCCAACTTTGGAGACAAAGTTAGAGAGGCAAGGCTGGAATTTATTGGACAAAGGGTGTTAAATATGGAAGAAGGGAAAGAGTTTTCATGCTATGAGGGAAACAACTGGCAGGTAGACATGTTTATCGATGAGGCAATGCTGTAACTTCATTGGTCCAGCGCACATAAAATCAAATTGGGCTGGATGGTGCCCACAATGTAAAATTAGTCTGACACCACTGATCAGTGGAAGTTACTGAGCTGACACACTCATTTATTTAAATAAAAACATTCCCATATTACATGAATGATGGGAAGATCAAACATGTTGCTAGACTGTTCAGGACCATGTAGCAAAGGCCAATACTGAGAATATGCAGCAGCTTGTTAGAATTAATACACATTAACATTTGATTTCACTCACTTCCGTCGATAGTTCGTATTTTGGTTCTGTCTCTATATAAAAGTGAAGTTCCATCATACAGCTCCAACTGCCCAATAATATTTTAGTAATAATCTTTTGGAGAATCTCTTTGACTAATTTCAGATAAACACATTGGCTTTTATTTGCAGTGCAAATTTCACATCAATCTTGTATAAAATGAAAAAGATTTCCTAACATACAAAAACATTTTTATTTTGAACAGATCATATTTCATTAACATAGGGATATACACATCCGTTATTTGGAACAGATATCTGAACTTTTCTGCCAATAAGTGCTGATTTAATCATTTTTGCCAGTGTTAGCTGCCGTAAGCCTCTTTTAGCCGGCGTTAACCTCCGTTAGCGAAACCTTGAGGGTAGCTCTAGCATTGTTAGACTTACCACACATCTGTCAGACTATGATGTGAGAATGAAGTCAGACTCTTTGTCAGATAAAAAGTTTTCAGGTCACTTGACCTTATCATTAGCTGGTGACTCTTTGAGACACTTTTTCACTGCTTTTGCAAATAAGGAACCCTTCTCAGATGACAGTACTTTATCATATCTCAACTCTGAAGCTGCAGAAATGAATTAAAATTTGTCTATGACTTCTCTTCTCGTATGTGGCCGGTCTCTAGCTACATACATAAAACAAGACTGAACAGTGTGTTCAAGGTGGCGGGCCAATATGACAAACCTGCACCTACGTATTTTTAACAGATTAATTCTAAGTTTGAGAACACAGTTTGTCGGAATACATAATTATGCACTTATAAATATATATTTATGAGCATAATATTATTGTTTTTCTGTTAAAAACGACTGACTGTAACATTTAAGCTCAGAGTCGGGTAGACGTAGAAACTAGAAGGACATCACTGAGAAGCTTTTATTTCACTTACAGTAACGACTTGTTGCCAACTCGGTTAATGTCCTTTTTACTCCACCTGTGCCTCGATAGCGCTACATCAATGAGTGCAGGAGTGGGAATAAAGGACAAACTAGAGTGTAAATGAGCCGTAGTCCTCATTTCCTCACAATGAATTGGTACTTCACACCAGCAAGCATCCAAAATGAAACATGTTAACATTTTTGGGTGTAATGTCTCTTTAAATGCCATCAGTGAATATTCTATGGGACTTAAAAAAAAAAGGGGGAAAAAAAAAATCACCATCAGTTTGACTCTTTTGTTCTTTACAGCTCAAAATCAGAGATAAAAAGACAATAACCACACAAAGCCAGACATCACAGACGTCTTTGTGCACGAGGGCAGCGCCGTGCAGCCGCTACCTCACCAGCGGTGTCTGTCACCGACTGCTCTATTCAGCAGCTCAGCGCCGAGGACAAAGCAGGATTCAACACAACAGAGACGCTCACACAATGCAGCTGTACCTGGTGCTGTGCGCCTCTCACACAAATGGCTGCTACTATTCATAGAAAGAAGAAACATGACAGCTTTGAGACACACACACACACACACACACACACACTTTTGGAATCAGAGGTGAATAAAAGAAAATACTGCTTGTGTTATTTAAAAGGTGTGCGAGTAAGGCTGGTGTCCGCACAGAGATGCGAGGGAAATCTTTCTCTCCTTTACCTGTCAATGTGAATATATAAGCATTTAGCTACGAACCTTTCATGTACACCGTTGCTATGGCAACAGCTCTTCATTTCACCACGGCAAACCTCGGGTGGGGGGAGAGAGAGCTAGTGGGCCAAGTTGGTGGGAGGATTCCTCTGCAGAGGATGGTTAGTGTGTCGAGTGGAGGTTTAACTGCTTCTGATGCAACAAGGTGCACAGCCGAGGCAACTTCAGAGGATGTATGAACATTACTCGTCATGTTCTCATGTTGTTGCTAAGGATTGTCTTATTGCACTGGAGTCACACTGGGTTAAATATTTACACTTGGGTTTTTAAGGGGTATTTATTATTTTCTTCATTATTTTATTTACGGGTTGTACGGAAGCCCCAAACGCAATTTCATTGTTCTCTGACAATGACAATAAATACTTAAATAAATAAATAAATGTAGCCGAGTCAGGGAGTCGCACTCTGTGACCCAAATATTGAGACTGCAATGGGAGGCTAGTTTAAAGCACATGGAAGGTTAGCATGTGATCAGCAATGCAGAGGTGACACTCCAGCACAGTGATCACAGCAGCTGCAATATTCCTTAAGATTTGTTTGTCAGCACTCGCACTCAGCCCATCTAAAACAAGCCTGAGTTACCGTAGAAATGTGTCTAACTGGCAACATGGCTCTCAGGAAGTAACTTGCTACAAACCAAGTGTGGCTGAAAAGATATGCTGTAATGAAATTCACAAGTATCGAGTTCTGGCTGCTACACCAAGACTTGAACAGAGTAGCTTTGAGTCACAGTTCAAAATAATCCTCATTTTATCTGATTCTAGGCCTTCAGATCATCCTCTCTGAAACAAGACAAGAGGTTAGCTCTTCCTCGCACAAGATTAAAAGCAGGTGGCTTCTGTGCCTGAGATGACCAATTCATGATGTTTCCTACTGATGTCATCATAAAGATGAGGAAAATGAAGAAAATCTAACAGAGGGAGGGGCTGTTTGATCTTGATTAAACCACAATTTGTTCTGTTAGATGCTCACAATAACCCAAAGTTCAAAGTGACATCTGGTTGCCGACTGGTTGTATTCCTGTATCAAAGCCACGCTGCCGAGCACCATGTAATTTTACAGTTAAATTGTCATCCTGCAGCAACTATGTCACTATTTGTGGAGGACTTCCTGTTTCAGATTTGTGAGTTGGGCTGGTCTCTGAATTCAAGTCGTGAATGTGAATTTCCATGCATGCAGATTTGTAATTTTTGCCAGTTTAGTGCAATTAATCACTGTATAGCAACAATGAGGTCAAGTTGTCATGCAGTTCCCAACCCTTATTGACCTCTTGTTGTTGTTTTATGGCCGTCTTGACACGCCAACGTTGCTTTGAAGACGGCAGCTGACTACGAGTGGTTTCAGACATGGTCCCCGTCTTCAAAATGACCATTTCAAAAGGCAACACGATCACAAGTTCAGTGCAGTAGCACAGTAGCAACAACTTTGTCTCCCACGACCGGTTTCCTTTGTGTGACTGTAGCATCAGGATATGTCAGACTTTGAATGTGAAGTCGTAGCTTACTTGATTGTGCGTTATAGTCATATCAAACATGGCCACCTAGAGACTGGCACCATAAATTCAGCAGGAAAAGTGCTTAGCAAGAGATGAACTGACTGACAACCAGACAGCTGGGCCCTCTTTTGCAACCATGTGTTGATCCTGGCTGGTCACTAGAAAGAAAACAGATTCAAGGCACTTTTCAATAGCACCAAACATGAGCACCAATTATTTGCCTTGGCAAACCTAAACTTTGACTTAATGATGGCATGATACCATTAGAGACTTGCTGAAACTGCATAAGGAGGCGGGGGATGCTTTTGCACAAAGAACAGGCATACATGCAGGCTTTAAATCTTGCCTCCTTTCTTTATTAATTGATTTAATCAAAAACATTACTGTCACAGTGAATTTTTGGATTGCGTTGGTGAATCTCCACTCTGCGCATCTAACAAGATTAAATTCAATGTTGCTCTTTCTGCAAGCTTTGCGGTTACAGTGTGAAGATTAGCCTTTCTACACCAACAGCCGGCCCTTGATGGAAGCAAAATTGCAGTGTAAGTGAAGTATTTCTTTGACTTTAACACTGCACATAATTACTTGATTCCTAAGTATGTGGAGGCTGAGCGGGATCGTATGCAGACGAGCGCGCCCACGCAGGTGAGTGGAGCTCCATCTCGCCTCATTAAAGGCTGCGGGCGTTAAGCTGCCTGTTCAGCTGAGGCCGTGGGAGCTGTCGCCTCCACTCACACTTCACAAGCAGCCCCATCTTACACGCGCACACACACACACACACGCACACACACACACACGCACACACACAAAACTACAAAGAGACCCATCGATTTGATGAGGACTCCGATAAGCACACGAACATCAGGACTGATGATCCTGATCTGCTTTTTCCAGGTCACCTGTCGATAAACTCCAAACACGAAATCCATTTTTACAGACCCATGAGGTAACCATGACAACACTAAGCCAAGCGGCGGCCTCACCACTGCCATCGATCCACTGGTCTGCTCCTTGCTTTAACCTGCTGGTATATTTACACCAACTTCCTGTTTTACAGATCTTTTCCGGTTGCTCAGTATCGCTAAGCGACGGCTGTAATTATGATCAGGCCCAGGTCAGCTGACCTGGGCCTGATCTGCCTAAGAAGTGCCGACGGACTGCTGAGCCCTGCAGTGCATGGATGAAGGTGAGCCGACCTCAGACTGATCACCGTGACCACAGAGTACTTAGGAAGCATTACTGAGGTGACTGCTTATCTTACTGGCTTTAAAAAGTGGATCATTTAAAAAGAGCGCTAGTGACTGTGCTGCCAGCTGTTTCCATTCATCTCCAGACCTGCTGAGATTTCACCTCTCACAGGAAATGTCTCCTGCTTCTTAAGCTGATTAAACAAATGCAGTGTCACGTTACACTTGTGCTCTAGCACATTACTGCTGCGTCTTTGCATATCAGTCCAAACACCTCCCGTCTGACCATCACAGGTTTATCTGAACAAGTTTGAGGGGTGAGATACATTTTTTTAAACAGGATTTAGGTAAAAATGTCATGCCCCTGCCTTCATATTGGTAAAAAAGGGATCACCATGATAAATTCTGGAAAACACTTTAGTGCACCAACCTTCGTTTCTTTATATATTGCTTACAAAGAGCCAGACGTTGTCATTTTCTAAAGAGTCACCAGTTCTAGAGGTTTTCTAAAGTGTTTCTTTGGACAATAGCTGCTTTTTCACACATTTTCAGTCCAGTCCTTCAGACAACAACATTTCTTTTCTTGAATCTATGAAAAATATCTGGAACTTCAGTGGATCATTTGAGACCATTTCTGATGAGACTTCAGTGAACAAACATCTCAGTGCATTCCTATTTTATTGTACTTTTACCTTAGAGTACTTTATTTTTCTATTGTCCCTTATTTTTGTGTTCAATGTAAAGCACTTTTGTCACCTATAGTTGTTTAGTATTTGCTATACAAATAAAGTTGAAATTTCGTTGTCCAAACTCCGTTTCTGCCTTCAATACTGTATTTACATGTTTCAATATAATCACTGCACCCATTTCTTATTTTACTAGCAAGATAAACAAATGAGTGGTAGCTCTTTTCTTGCTAATGGCTCCTCCAAAATAAATGGCACAGAGAAAATAGCTACACAAATATCAACAACTTTTGTGTGGCCGTTAGTTCGACTTGCAATGTTGGACTGAGCAAACTGTTCCGTCCACAAACAGTAAACCACCACTGAGAACACAACTTCTCTCATACACGATCCAAGACATGAAGATCAAGATCAAGAAACAAGCTGCTCAAGCTGAGTAAGCTGAGAAGCCAAACAAGCAGCTGTCAATCTTGATTTTCAACAGGTAACAAAAGCAGAGATGAACAAGCTCATATTTTCTGCCTGTACTGGTTCATACGGCACAATCACCAAAACAGAGTGTGAGGTTTTTCCTTCTCCTCCACCCCACGCAGTTTGCTGGCAGTTTTGTGCTAATTTCAAACAGGCAACTAAAACAAAGACCTTCTGTATGCATTTCATTTTAAAGAGATATTGGAGCAGACGAAGTTTGGCGTCATATTGTCAGAGCAATCGCACAGGTGACGTTTTGACATAAAAGGAACTGAATTAATAACCTTCTAAATACAATAACACAAAATTTCTTGTAACACAACACCGCTCAATACAAACTCAGAAAATGACCACAAGAGCAGGAAGAAGTTTCAGCTGGAAAACCTAAAAATTAATATTGTAAAATAATACTAACAACAACAACAACAACAACTTAATAAAAATAAATGGAGTGCAATTACACTTTTCTTATGCTGACATGCCGAGGCCCCAGCTGCCCACAGATGTGCTGACGTATCTAAAGTAAAGAGTCTTTACTTATTCATTACTGAATGAGTTATTACACATTGCTCAAGTAAATGAGAAGCTGGGCTGTTTTTTGTTTTTTTTAAGGGAGGGCTTTTCCATTAATTTCTATGTCTGCATTTGTATTCTTAGTACAGCTTTGCATGATTCACAGTATCAAAATAATCCTCTTATCTCATTATGTCCTTAAAGCTAGCTTTCTTCTGGTTGGATGGTTCTCACAAACAGAAGCTTTTGACAGCGAGTGGGTGGGGCTTGTACCTGCTCAGTATTATCATACTGGTGTGAAAAAATAAATGATTCAAATGTGTCTGCGTGTCATTTTGAAACTCATGCTCAAACGCTGACACAGTTTTAAGGAATTCATCCACACTGAACAAAAACCAGTGTTGACAAATTAATCTGCTGAACCCAGGGACTCATCTCATCAGTAATACACTATACTGCCAAAAGTATTCACTCATCCATACAAACTATTGAATTCAAGTGTTCCAATCACTTTAGTGGTCACAGGTGTATAAAAATCAAGCAGCTAGCCTGCTTGTACAAGCAAGCTCCATAAAGACACAGAGGAGAGAATTTGGTGTAGAAGAACTTGACTGGCCTGCACAGAGTCCTGACCTCAACCCGACAGAACACCTTTGGGATTAATTCGATTGCAATCTGTGAACCAGGCCTTCATCCGACTGTACTTCTGCAAGAATGTTCAAAAATTCCCATAAACGCTCCTGAACCTCAGTTGAAGCTGTTGTGTCTGCAAAGGGCCGACATCATATCAAACCCTAAGAATGGGAGGTCACTTAAGTTCAGATGTGTGTGAAGGCAGATGAGTGAATACTTTTTGCAGTGTAGTGTATTTGTGCTCAACACATTTCTTTCTAACAAGCCAGCAGCTGTGCTGTGTGCAAGATCTGTAACACCAACACTTCCTCCTGGCCAGCATTTGTGTTGTGAGAGACAGTAGGGGCGTGTGAGGTAGCGAGCGCTCTTGTTTTTGGCAAGACACTAAAAGCTGTGTACATCAGTTTTAAAATAGCCTGGAGGCAAGCGGCACCCTGCAAACTAATCCGCTGCCTCAGCCTTTGGTTTTAGCATGCACTGAACAACAGAACTGCGGGGACTTCAAGCTCTGAAATGCTCCCAAGATAAAGATGCATTTTATTAAGAGAAACCGTCTTGAGAAACACCCACAGGCTGAACTCCAAGTTAATGAGGAAGAAACTCCCACTCTTCACTCATCTACTCAGAGAAATATCAGACTTGATCATCTTTCTTGCAGCAGTAGCTACAGCAGTGCTCCCAGCAGCAACTTAATCGTGTGGCTCGTGTCTTCTTTTGCACCATTGACCTGCACAGCCAGGTGTGTGCAATCCAACCTCCCTTGGGGCAGTCAGAGTCGTTTTCTCTACACACAAATTACAAACAAACCAGTTGACTCGCACCTTGCTCTAGCCGGAGGGACAGCGACCTTCTGGCGGCCTCCACCTCCGATTTGGGGCTGTCCAGAGCCTGCCGGCACCACTGCAGCGGTGTGAGGGCGTCGCTCGTGGTCTCCGACCTGTGGTCCTTTGATGACACATATAACCTGGAAAGAGAAGCAAGAGTGAACTAGACTTCTACAACTTCTATGAGCTCTGATAGGAGACTCTGGCCAATCCCAGATCTTTCCAAACATGATCAGGGGAGCAGTTTAAGAGACTACAAAGAGCTGGACAGTGTGTACACTGTGGTGGGGACAAATCTGGGAAAGCCAAACTCAAAGGTCAACAAACACTTACTCTGTAGTAAGGTGCTTGAATGCTCATTCATTCTGAAAGCCAACTGGAGCTTTACTTATTTAGCCTATAAACCAAGTAGTCCATCCTAATGTTTCAGGGCGTAGAGATGATGTTACTGCCCAACAAACAGTTCAAAACCAAAGAGTGTGTTTGTGTAACTCTGAGAAAAGCGGTAAAAGCTCACATTTGAGATGGCAAAACAAGAAAACACAAATTACTGCCACTGTTTTGCCCAAGTTTGTGCTTGAAAGACATCTAAAACCAGTACTTAACAATGCCCACATGAGAATTTCCTCCTTTTCTGTCATAAGAAGCTGTGGTCAGGCATTTACATACACAGGCCTGTTAACTTGTTATCCATCATGATCGATTACACCTGGTAGTGTCTCTTTGCGACTATTGAAATATATAGACAAATATTACTCTTAATGCCATCTTCCTCTTTTAAAACTTCTCCTGTTTCATGTCAACATCCTCCTCACTACATATCTAGCCTTAATCACGTGGCTATTCTTTTAACTCAACTCTTAGCTGTTGAATACAGATAACCAACTCAATCTGGATAATTCAGTGCTGTGACATACATATATAATCTCTCAGCACACAGTCCCTGACAGATCGCACTCCAGACTCCATCGTTCCTTTTGCGCCACCAACTCGTTTCCTCCTGAGTCAGAGAAATCTGTCTCCCACTCAGTTTGAAGGTGGTGTCAAGCCTTTTTAGAAGCAAGGAAGAGGCTCAAACAGAGTGGATCAGATTATTCTGACAGCCCGGATGCTGCTGCTCTGTGGGCAACATGGAAGAAGCTGAATTATAGATTAAAACCCCGGCTGACATCAGGTGAGAGTGTGACCTGAAGGGGACTGAGTGCACACCCACACATGGAGATCTGTCATATCTATCTATCTATCTATCTATCTATCTATCTATCTATCTATCTATCTATCTATCGCTACAAGTGAAAAAAATGACCACTTGTATTAGTTAAATGCAGCCCTGGGTCACTTCCTGTTTATGAGTTTGCACAACACCTCACAAGCTGTGACAAAAATCAGCAAAAAATTTCACTTCCTTAATTTGATTTGGTCCTCTCTGCAGCCACTCCACAGCAAAACACAAGAAGTGTTTCCCTGAAGCTTTAAAGGCAAGTGGCAGCACATAAGTAGGGCCTGACTAACTTCAAGGTGTGTGTGGCTTTGTTGGGGCACTGCAGAGGGCTGGAGCAGCTGAAAACAAAGCTTTAAAATCCCACATTTCAGTTAGAAATCACATACAACATGACTGAGCAACATATGGTTGGAAATGCAGTGTGCACTTACCAGGTTTCATCAGACTCCTCTGAGCAGCTCAGGGAATTCAAATCCAGAAGCTCCAGCTCGTCCAGAACCGACGGCTCGGATGCATCCTCCTCCTCCTCGTCGTCCTCCTCCCTCGCAGCAGCAGCCGCTCCATCCCTGCCGCTGTGCGGGTGGAAATAGTCGAAAGGCTCCTCGGGGGCAGAGAACGAGCCCAAGGACGAGTGGCACAGCAGGGTGGGCAGCGGGCTGGGGAGGCAGTATCCGCCGGCGCCGGCTCGGGTGCGCAGCTGCTCGTTCTGCCGCTCCAGTTTGCGCACCAGCTCCTGCAGCTTCTTCACCTCCAGCTCGGCGTTCAGGGTGTTGCTGTTGCAGTCCACCTCCGTCATGATCGCGGGGTTCAGCACGGCCGCCTCCATTGGAGCAAAGAAAAGCACACGAAAAGACCACAATACCAGCCGCCTTCACCTCTACCTCCACCTTAAACCACAAATGGAGGACAGGTAGGGCCAAGCTGCTGCTGCTGCGCCCTCAGACTGCTTTCTGTATTCGGCAGCGGTAGTAATCTGTCTAGTACGCCTGTCTGGACGTTCACCCAATGGGAGACTACATAACTCCCCCCCTCCCTCCGACACATTTACACACGTACCCCTCCCTCTGTTCCTCTCCCGGCACTGATTACAGGTAGATGGTGCACCTGTCAGTCTAAAATGTGGGCTAATGTCCAACACACCTAACCGTAAACATATGACATTTAATTTTTTCATGCTGTAACACATTTCTATATTCTGCTTCACTCAATGCAAACACACTGCCTCAGTTAATATTTACTTATAAGCTTTTAACTAATTAATGATGTTATTTTATAATGAGATTAAGTTATAATTAGCAACAGACGGTCACACATGGCAGGCATTTGTGAAACTTTGGCGACATCTAGTGGTTGAAGTGAGGGATATATCAAATTAAATATATATTATTTAATAACAGAAATAAAACAGAAAAAAAGCCTACGTTCGTCCGGTTCTGCCTTTGACCTTTATCGGCAATATGTCGATAAAGCAATATGTTTTTTCACTCTAGAGACTAAATTATTGATAAACTATCGAATTCGTCAATTTATTTATTAATAAAAAAAACGTTACTTAGTAGAAATCACCACAGTCACCCCAAGCTAATTTGTATTTCACCGTTATTAGCATACACTCCCGAAAACACCCGGCTGCTCCGAATCCACGAAGGCAGTGCCCGAGCGTTAGTGTTGCACTGTGGGTAATGTAGGCCATAGATTTTGACAAAATAAAACGTAAAACGCGGAATAAAATCATATCTGGTTCTACTGCAGGTTGTTGGTAGCATATTTTATTTGATTAATTTGATTAGTAGATTTGTTTATATAAAAACTTTTTTTAAACACATCACCACAGTTGACTTGATTCAATCTAAAAAAAATTCTTAGTTTTGCTTCAAAAACTGCACAGTTTGCCGTAAAATTGTTACTCCTGCCTTTAAAAAATACAAAAAAAACAAAAATTAGCCTCGAGTCTTTAACATTTACTATAAAATAATCTCACACTATGGTGAACATAGGTACCTACCCTACTACCTAAGAAGGTATTTGAAAAAAAAAAAAAAAAAAAAAAAAAAAAAGGAAAATTGTTTAAATTGTATTAAAAACAAACAAACAAAAAAAACAAGCCAAAATATCACAACCTTTATTTATATTTTATAGAAAACCTTTAATTTATTAATTGATGTACAGATAAACAGTCCAAACTATGAATTTCTTATAACATGTCTCCATCTGGTGGCTGAAGGAGCTCCCTGCAGCAGGTGCATCATGAAAACCATGTGAGAAAGCATAGCACTTGGCACCAAGAGCTTAAAGAGGACAGAGTGGCATCGCCTCTGGAGAGAAAATAAAGCAGTTTCACTGATGTCAGAAGTCAGTTTGAATGTTTCATATCCAAGCTCAGGTGGAACTGATCCGCCCCTCAGCGCTTCTTCCAGGTGAATTTCCGTCGTGCTCCCTCCTGTCCAGGCTTCTTCCTCTCCCTCACTCTTGGGTCGGGGGTCAGCAGACCAGCTGTGGAAAAAAAAAATGAAAAGAACGAAATATAACTGAACACAGGCGCAGATGAGTAAATTTTTATGTATCTATTAGTTCATTAGTACATGCATGTCATAACACAAGTAGTCCTTATGAGACTGGAGAGTGACATAAATATTTATGGTAGGGAAGATCACGGTAACATTTAAGTAACAAAAAACACAGCAGCAAACAACCAGCTGTCACGGAGCTTTGTGGTCTCAGGAAAACCAGAGGTGATAAAAACTACACAATAAATTCAAGACTAAATAACTTTACTTTATTATAGTTGGCTAATAAAAAAGGTTAGCTGAGAAAAAAAAAGAAAAGAAAAAAGAAAGAAAACTCTGGAGAAAATACTGTGCTTTGTTCTGTTCTCCGTCAACATGATCCTACACTGCTTCAATAATGAGGTCCGACTCATGACTGATAGTGTTCCACTGTATGTTTTTCTATACAACTCTGATTTTACTGCACTACCAGTGTGTTTGGGATCATTGTCATGCTGAAAAATGTTATCAGATGCTTCCTTGCATGATAGATTCAAAATCTGATGGCACTTTTCTGCGTTATTGTCAAATTACTTAATGTTAGCAGATTAGACACGTGACCCTCCGGTTCCTGGTGACAACGAGCCGGCTAAACAACAACAGCTGATTATAAGCTAACATTATGCTAGTTAATGTTAGGCTCGTGCCTCCTGAAAATCCCAAGTTCCTTGTGACAAACTCTCATACAGTATGAAAATTTATTAACTAAGTGTCTGAATGCAGCAATTCAGTGAAACTTTATTCTCAGTGAAACTAGCATCAGCTAACAGAGGCTAACAACGGCAAAATACAGCTGTGCTTAGTAACAGGAAATTTTCTAGAGTTGCTTTGCTGTCTGAGAACTCTTGCTACAGATGAACGGTGACTTGAGTGACTTGGGGTAACCATCTCTGTTTTTTATTGCTAAGTGTTGATATTATTCAAATATGTTCATTTACAGTTTACAAAATGTGTTTGTTTGTTTTCCCTTTTTACACAAACAGCAGTAGAAACATGCCGAACGGGTGTGGCCTTTATGGGGTACAGTCTAAATTTAATATTGTTGATCTCTCCTTGCTGACTAAAACATGGCAGCTGCCATAGCTAAGGCGGTGCACTTAATTGGGAGGGGTAAAGCCTAGGTTATCCTCAGGTTTGCAAACAGACTGCTGCAGACACGACGGCCAAGCAGTCATTCCTGTTATGCTGCTTTAAAGTCAGTGTGTAATGTAAATTCTCTATGGAGAAGTCTACACGGTAACAAAAACCAAACAGGACCTTTGCACTAACCATCCGACGACAAACTTTACGTGACTGGGACCCAAGTAGACCCCCAGACTTCCCGAATCCATGCTTAGGAAAACAGAACCCAGTAAAGGTAATATGTAATCTACTGACAGAGAGAACATGCTTTTCAGATACGGTCTATTTAGGCTTTACATGTCTTGTCCAGTTCTTCAAATATTTTAAGGACACACTGCAAACCACGCTTAGATATGTCCATCCAACCAAAGATTTTTAAAACCAGCTGCACAAGCTGGTGAATGAGCACTCTTTTAATCCCAAGTTGTAAAAGTATATCAGTGGTAGTAGTTTTCAGACAGGATGCTGCCGTAGGAGATACAAACAAAACAAAACAAAGCAAAACTACCCACCTTGTCTCATCGCCTCCCCATCTCCCTCAGACAGGAAGCTGAGCAGCGCACGGGAAATGGCGAGTCTCAGGGCCCCCGCCTGGCTCGACCTGCCGCCACCGCTCACCTTACACTCCAAGTTGAAGCGGCCCAGCACGCCCATGAACTGCAACGGGAACATCAGCTGCTCTCTGAGAGGTATTTTTAAAAAAAAAAAAAAAAAAGAAGAAGAAGAGAAAATGACCAAGAGATAATAAGGTGAAAGAATGAAATGTGGCTGAATGGGCAGACCAGGAGTGTGCACTATTTAACAGATAGCGGTATCAACGGCGGAGGCTTAGCTAATTTAATGTCTGGTTGGGTGACTTTTCAGACAAGCGTAGAGGATCCCGGCGCTGTGAAATGCCTTCTTTTACAATCTCACCACCACATATAACAGAGTAACTTCTGACTCAGCAGGAAGAGGATAAGAGTGTGTGTGTGTGTGTGTGTGAGAAAAAGAAAGTGTCTGTGTTCTGGATGGCGTCTTAGGCTGAATGGCCCATAGCTGCTGACAAAGTCAATTGTCACCTCTCTGCTCCAATTACAGCCCCGTCCTCACACTGCGTGACAACACCAGCTCTGGACATTCTCTCTCACACTCACTCACACACACACACACACACACACACACACAATCACTCAACTGTGTAATTAACTTACTACAAGGAGATAAATAAAAAACGAGGCGATGCTGTGAAGAGTGAAAAAGCTGCTTTTTAATTTTTTTTTTTTTTTTGGAGAGGTAGGGGTGGAGGGTGGAGAGTAAAACCCATCGCGTCTTGCATTTTAAGGAAAACGGTATCTGTGAATGAAGCAGTGCAGAAGCTGTGAGGTGGAAAGGCTTATTTGCTCAGAGTGGAAACCTTCGTGCTGCTCTCCTCACCTGTCCTGCAGCACGGGGAAGTATTGGAGGTAGTCCTGGCCGTTGACGGTAATGTGTCCTGAGCCGCAGTCCCGCAGGATCACTGATGAGTCTGATGTCTTCCTCCGACCTGAGAATGACAATGAAACACAGTCTGATTTTTTACTTCAGACACGAGTGTCATGTTTGCAAGTTTACTACAAAGGTTACCTTTTTTAACCTTCCAAATCATCCCAGAAATGACTGGGAATGGAGGAAGTTACCTGGTCTCGCATGTAGCAAGAAAACAAAACACTTTGTTTAGGCGAGGGAGGCATGAAGCATGATAATTCAGCAGAAATTACCCTCATTGATGGGCTCAATCAGACATTAGAAGGAATTGATACCCAGGAGGTGTCAGACTGATGATTATTTGATGTAGACACTTACAGTGGTCTCTCTCCTGACCTGCTCCGTACATACTGATGATGTTTTGAACCAAACAATTCCATCAGACCCATTTTCACTGATTTCTAGTCCAATTCTTGTGTAATATGGGATGCCTCAGCCCTTTCTCCCTGTTTCCCTTCCTTAAGAATGGCAGTAGATGATGAGCTGAAGGTCCAGATGCATCTCTCAAGTTCTGTGTCAGGTCTTTGCTGGATTATTTTCTGATTCTTAATACTCACCAGCTCGACATGATACATTACTTTCCCTGGAATAGCCTCCCACTGTCGTTCTCTAAACCTAAAAGAGAACTATGGATTTGATCAACTGGTCTCTGAATGCTATTGACACCCTTTTCTCAACGAGAAATCTGGGCTCGAGAGAACCTGAGTGCCCTGGAGTGACTTTCCCTGCCGGATACACGATGGACGGGTGGCAGAACTGGAGGATCATGTGCCTGGCAGGACTGTCGATCGAGGACGCTGAAGATATCTATCTATTCGGAACCATGATAACAGGGTTCATGCTGATCGGAGTTGGCTTAGCCCTGGTTTATCGGAGAAATAAGAGAGCGGAACCGGCTGTTCAAACCCCCCCAAGGCTGCCCGCTGGAATCAAAATGGAACGAGGCGCAACCTCTCACAATGAACGTAATATGGTCAACACCTTGGAGACGCTTGCAGCTGCTGTGAAGGCTCAAAACAACACCATTGAGCGTATGGGGGGATAACATCAGAGAGAGGCCTGCTCAAAATGAGACCCTTGAGCGACAGTTGGAAAACATCGCGGAACGGATCACTGCAGTTGTGAGGTCTCAGAATCAAAAGAATGATAACACCATGGAACAGAAGTTTGATACCATCATGGGGAGGCTCGCGACTCTCCAACGGGAGATCGAGAGGCCAGTGTCGGAGTGTTAAAGAGCAGCCTGAAAAATTCTCCTGGGCTGCTTGCATGAAAATTAACAAAATCAACATGAACATTGCGGACCCCCATAACGCGCCAGCTGCAGGCCCAAGGCTGGAGCCGAACAATCACTCCCTGATAACGACTGTGTTCTTCCCATCCCATGCAAGGACACCTGGATTGGCTGGAGGACTGTTTACTTAGCCTGATAGGCCGAAGGACACTGTCTCAGCTGAACTATGGACACGCACACACATACACTTACACTGATAAGCACTCACTCATCCCCCCTCCCTTTCCAACGCCTTCGATGCTTGTTCCTGCGAGGGAACACGGCGGGTCTGTGTGCCGCGCTGGAATGATAGCGCTGTGCAGGGTGGCTGCTGTGTTTCTTCGGATTACTCCTCACCCCCCACCCACCCCTGTGGCTTGTCATGTCTTCACAATGTTGTGCTGTGGACATTTATGTGCTTTTTTGTGCAAAGGAGTTTTTTGTTTCCTGTTCTCATGCTGTCCTACCATGGAAGCACAGCATGAGTAGGGGTCTCTTTTTTCCTCTTGTACTTTCCCCACTGTAGTGTACATTTCAATGTTTTTTCTCTGATTCTACCAATCTCCGACCTGTATCCCCATGTAATGTTTGTGCTA